GGTAGGCAGGGTCAGACCCTGTGGGTTGTGTAAGGATTTTGGCCCCCAGGAAGCTGGTGAAGTGGTTTAAGCTGAGAGAAGCGACACGATCAGCTCATGTTGGGAAAGCTAGTCTTCGCTGTGTGTGGAGGTTGGCTTAGAGGGGAAAGGAACGCAAGTGGGCGGGTCCGTTAGGAGGCGGGTACAGTCTCTGGGTAACCGAGGGCGGTGGTTTCTGCTCACTGACAGGACAGAACCAGGAGCCTAGAATTGCTGACTGTCCGGTGCTGTTTTCATTGTACCGCTCTGCCCTCGTCATGGGGCGTTAGCGCACATCACTCCTGCTAGTTACTGGGGACTTCTGTAGGCTGTACCGTAGGCACGCTGTGTATGTTGGTACTAAAACTCCCATTTTACAGAAGAGAACACTGAGGCACAGAGGGCTAATGTAACTCCTCAAGCTGGTGCACCGTGGAGCCAGAATTTCAGCCTGGGTGTGGGACCCAGAGCTTGCATTGCCGTCATGAGGGCTTAATGCCTGTCAAGTCCTATGCCCCTGGCCATCTGAGGGTATGGCTGCTCCTGGCTCCTTGTTTCTCCTTTGGTCAGTCACTTGTCACCATCCTGTCGAGGATAGAAGCTTGGTCTGACCTGGGATGCCCTTGGCAGGGCCAGCTGGACAATTGGGTTCGGTGCCTGGAGGCTCTTTAGCAGATTGGTAAGAGCTGAGCATTACGCCATTCAGAGCATTACGCAGGGATTCAGAAAGCAACACTGTTTCATGACTTCTGGGGTTGACCCCTGTCAAATAGGTTCTTTCTTCCCAGCTTGGCAGTCACGATACCTCCGTAGCTCTGTGGAATCAGCAGTTGGATCTTTCCGAACCTCAGAAAGAACACACATTCCGTGGAAGACGGTCTGTGTGTTCTTGACCTGTTGCTGCTGCTGTTATTTTTATTGTGGGAAGCTGGGGCATCATATGGTGGCTTCTCCAGAAGACCCCGTCTTCCTGTCACCTTATTTTGGGCAGAATGTGGACCCTGTCCAGGGTTTGGCTGCTCAGTATGGCATTTTGGAAACATTGCCCAGGAACCTGGCTTCGTGGGAATGTGCACAGCTGGCTTTTCTGGCCTCTCGCTCTGCCCTGTGCGGGGGTATGTTACGTGGTCTCTGGGTTCCTGGGCCCCAGCTGACGTCAGCCTGCTGACCCCCAGGGGATGACACGTTTCCCCCTGCCCTCTGATGTTTTCTGCTCATAAAAAAACCACCCTAAACACACAGACACACATCCCTAAAAAAAAACAAAAGACCGTACAAAGCTGGAGAAATTTTTTTTCCTGATTATTTTTCCTCTTTTAGACAAGGATATCGATATATTTGAATCATGGGCCGACAGTAATTAAAAAGCACATAACTAGTCATTTTAAAATGCAGTTGTTTTACTTAATTGATTTTGCTGCCAGACCCAGAGGGGGGTGGGAAAGGATGGAGGGTGAGGGGGAGAGAAAGCCTTAGAAGGGGAGACAGGTTTCTGCGAGTGACTGGAGGCAGCCCAGGGCCCTGCTTGGATCTAATTGCTGCCCGTGCTGCAGTTTGTTTCTGCTAATGGTTTCCGCTGAAAGGGCTGGGGGCCAGGCCGGATTGGAGGGGCTGCATTTGTTTCAGCTGCGTGGGGGGTGTAATCCTGCTTTCCGGACAGGGTCTGCTTTTCCTTACTGTCTGTCAGCTTAAAGTACTTCCCCTGAACACTTTGAATCAAGGTTCCATTTAGAGATACTTTATTCATATTTAATTACAGGCTGTAGCACCCATCTTTAATTACCTTTTTTATAAGCCAGCTAGGAACATCCACTAGCAATCAATTATTGTGTGAGTGTGTATGTGTGTGTGTAAGTATAAGCACAGGAGAGTGTGGGCTTGTGACTTGCTCCCTGATAGAGAGGGGAGGGATGGCTCCAGGGACACGGAGGTGGTGGGGCTGGGGTGGGGTGGGACATCTGCCCGACAGGTCACTGCACAGAGTGAGTGGTGCATCCTCATTTCCCACACCTCTCTGCTTCCACTGTCAGACTGGGAACTTGGACAAGTCTTTAGAGTGGGGCCTTGCTTAGGGTGCTGAGTTGGCAGCTGGGCTTGGGTGGTATCTCAGGACCCCCTCTATCACCTGTTGGGAGCAGGGAATTATGGGAGGCCCTCTTCCCATTCCCTAAGTATATGGGGAATCAGGCTTCCTCTTACCCTGGAGATGGGGAGCCTGCCTTGGCCTGTTCCTTTCTTCACTCCCCTTGGAGTGCTCTTGGCAGCTTTTTGTGCCACACAGCCCTAGTAATGCCATGTCACTCTTTGGTTGCAGTGACTCTGCAATGTCCCTGCAATGACACTGATTTGAAGTCTGGTTGTCCTTCTCAGAGAATGAGCCATTGCTCCTAGGGAGAGAGATCAGATCATTCCCAAGTCCCTTTGCAGTGGGGAGGTTGGGCCATTGTTACTGCCTGGGAGGTGAGGGTCCGAGTTCACAGCTCTGCTCTGGAAAATGTTCTTCTTGATGCTCTTTTAGGAACTACAGAGGGTTTCCAAAGGAACTTAACCTTGATCTCATTATGTAATCACCGGGAATGTCGATGAAGTTCAACCTCCCTTCTATGCCTGGATTCCTATCCCAGCAAGAGGGTGAAGGGAGGATGGAACTCACACTATGGAGCCTCTTGGGGATGCTGGGCACCATGCCTGTGCTTCTTTACTTTATCCCAGCTGGGGCTGAAGACGTACTGTATTAGTCAGAGCCCCTTTAGTTGTGTGTGACAGACAACAACTCAAACTGACTTAAGCAAAAAAAAAAAAAAAAAGGAATTATAGGGTGGGCATTCAGGCATGGCTAGATCAAGAGGCTCAGCCATTGTGATTAGGATTCACTCTTTCTGTCTCTTGGCTTTGCTTTTCTCTTTGTTGCTACTGTGTAACACCTGGCATTTCTAGGTTTCAAGTTCAATTTTAGCAGAAAAAGAATCCCTTCTCCTACAGTTCAAACAAAAGTAAAACAGTCGAGTCTGATTGGACCAGTTGAGTCATGTGTCTATCTCAGAGCCAGTCATTGTGGCCCAGGGTATTCAGCATTTTGATTGGCCAGGTCTGGGTCTCATACTTACCTGGAGTAACAGGTGGAGTCTGCCTTGTAAAACCCCACACATGACATGTGCTTTCACATTTGAGGCCTTTGGATTAGTAGGAGTGTGGGAACAGGAAGGTCCAGTCATTTCAAAGGGAAGAAAGAGTTCATCCAGTTCTTCTCCAATGGAGAGAATAGTGGATTCAATCCTTCAACAAATCTTGGTTTGCCACTGACTAGTTCCAGCCCTGTTCTAGGTGCAGGGCATTCAACAGTGAACAAGACAGACAGAAATCCATGCCCACTGGGAGCTGATATTCTAATGAGGTGTATATGGATGGTGGCACTTGCATTCTCTTAGTCTGAGGTCCAGAGTATAGGGTCTTGTGCAGAGAGGCAGGTGGTGGATGATGTGGGAAGAATATAGCCCTCAGGGAGCATAGAACTCACTAAGGAGAGAAAAAGACAGGTGCATGGTTGTGGAAGAAGGGGGAAGTAGGCACTAGGAGGGGGACAGATAGAAACTCAATGAGGAAGAAGGGGGACAAGGAAGCCAGTCCATACCTATGTCTCGTGACAGTGAAGTGTAGGCCCCTCCCATGTTGCCTGGACCTTTGGCCTCCACAGGATGTTGATAAATGGGATGGAGTTTAGTGAAAGCTAAAAAAATGATGACAGGGCTGGAGGGAGTGATTTATGAGACAAGATTAGGAAAGTGATGGTGTAGCCTGGAAACGGGGATGGGATGGTGCTGTGGGTCATGTTACTTGCGAAGTCCAAGGAGGGGAGAGGGGCTGAGGGGCTGAGTGTTCTCTCAGAAGGGGCAAAGGAGGTGGGGGGCGCAGACTGAATCGGCCCCAGCCTGCGAGCTGGGGAAGTGTGAGGAGGAGGAAAGGCGTGTGACTGTACACATACACATTTGCACAGGTGTGTATGTGAACATCTGGACTTTTTAGAATGGTGAGGCTATCCAGGGACTTCAAGAAACAGAGGATGAGAACTTCAGCCTTGGCTGATCTTGCAAAAGGCTTTGGGGGCCTCCATCTGGTAGAATATTTATATCTGGACCATGTAGGTGTGCCCATCAAGTCAGAAAGACTTTTTCCTTCAGGAAAATCGGTATGGCATTTCTTTTTTTTATCCTTACCCGAGGACATTTTTGCAGTTATCTTCAGATAGAGCAGGGAGAGAGGTAGGAAGACAGAGAAGGCAGAAGGGAAGAGAAGATGGAAGAAGAAGGGTATACGTACCATTTCATAGAAAAAGTGAGGCATAGAAATGGCAGGGGATCTGCCCAAGGCCACCTTTGGGTGGCCTTGCAGGTGGGGATCAAATGCAAGGCTCAGGCCTGCAGCCCTGGGATCTCTGCCCGGTGGCCAGGCTGAGAATGGGCTTGGACACCCATGTTGAGGCCGCCGCTCAGGCAGGAACAAGAGGTGGTTGTTGAGTTTGCAGCCTCCATCCAGGGTTCCTTGAGCTCTCCAGTTTGATGGGGTTGGAAATCTTCCATCTGACTTGTTTTGGGCTGCTCTGGGCCTGGGCCTGTTGACTTTTGATTATGCCCATATGTGAGATCCTTGGAGGCACAATGGTAGACACTCGACTGGCTGGTTATGCACAGTTCTGAACACTAGATAGCACTTCTTCAGCCTTGAATGGAGGTGCTCAGGGCACCTTTGCACACGTATGAGAACACAGCGTCCACACGTGTTTTCTGTCTCACTCCCTCCATTTGCCTGGTGTGAATCTCTGTGGCAGCAAAGGGCCCAGGCCAGGAGCTGGGCTGGCATACAACTGGAAGAGCAGAAGAACCTGTCGTGGGGGCATCGGTGGTACTGGCTCTGGTCCATCCTCCTGGCCACTCTCACTGAACTGAGTCATCTTAATTGCTCCAACCTCTCTCCACTCTTGACAGATCCATGATTTGTTCATGAGCTTTGACGACACCCCTCTGGGGGCTGCCTCCCTGGCCCAGGTCCATAAGGCGGTGCTGCATGATGGGCGGACGGTGGCTGTGAAGGTCCAACACCCAAAGGTCCAGGTGCAGAGCTCGAAGGACATTCTCCTGATGGAGGTGAGGACCTTCCCTTCTCGCCTGCCCTCTTTCTCATCCTGTGTTTCCGTGCGATCAGGCAGCGCCAGCGAAACTGGTTCACAGCTGGTGGGTAGATGTGGCCCCTTGAGCAGCAGAGTGGCAGAGAGAAGCTTGAGACCACAACGAAGGAGGTACTGTGACAACATTGCGACCATGGGACCCCATGGCTGGGATGGTCAGTTCTTAATTTGTTCCTGGAAACTGCATGTGGTGGTCTCAGAACACAATGAACAGCTGCTGGGGCCGAGGGGACCTCAGGAGGATATAGAAATGAGACGAACCGAAGTTGATTTCCTTGGGGGTAGACAAATTACCTCTTAATTCGTTAAATTACAATAAAAGAGAGCATGTGGTCAACGAAGGGATATAAAAATGATAGGCAGGTCACAAAGAAATATTCATGCAGATTACAGGTGTGCCCATGTTCTGAATGAACAAGCTTGCATGCCCAAAGGTGGCCCTGCAGAGGCTCTAGTGGAGACCATGTCTTTGGACTTCTCCAGCTCTATGCCCAGAGCAAGGGAGGGAGGGTGAGCCGGGCAGTAGCCAGGCCCTCCACGGGGTCAGCAGTCCATTTAACCTGGCAGCATGTCTCTCTCCCTCCTTTGCTCCTTCCCGTTCCTTGGCTCCCCTTCCGCATGGTGAACTCTTAGTTTATTCTTTCAGCTCACTCTGACTAAGCACACGTATTGCAGGTCTCTTTGGCGTCAGGTGGATGAGCAGTATCTTCATCCCCAGGGAGCTCCTTGTGTAGTGGAGGGGCAGGTCTCTACACAGACAGTCACAGTGTGGGGACATGAGCTCTGTCCAAGGGGTGCTTGTGAAGTGCCGGGAGCACTGTGCCTGGACTGATGAGGGCGTTGAGGGGTTTCACTGAGGAGCCCGTGAGACAGCCAGGCAGCGGAAGGACAGCCCAGCCTGTGCGAAGGCCCCAGGTTAGAGGAACAGGGTGGAGAACGTCCCCTGGCTCAGTGGTGTAGCAGGTGAGGGCTGGGAAGGTAGGCAGGAGAGAACACGGAGGCCTTGTATTCCAGGCTCGGCATAGAGTGGTAGACATAGTAGGTATATTTTCTCTGGAGCTGATCTGATCTGAGTGTCTCTTGTAGTCAGTGGGGAAGTCATGATCAGATGTGCATTAGAAATAAAAATCTGTTGGCAGCCTGGAGGATGTCTAAAGGAAGAAAGCCTGTAGCTAGGGAAACTAATTGAGGGGCTGCTGCAGTAGTCTGAGAGAAACAGCGACGTGAACCAAAGCAGTGTAATGGGGGTGGAGGAGAGGGATGGGTTCAGGGGGTGGTATCCAGATGCTGACCAGCTTTCCAGGGGGTGGGGGCAAATACTGGTATGAATGAGGAGGAGGAGACTAATGTAAATTGTGGGTTTCTGACTTAAATGATTGAGTTTGGATGCCTTTGGCCATGTGTGTCAGATTGAGTCCAGCTGGGGAAAAAAGAAATTGTTCTAGGAATTTCAGAAGGAATTTGAAACAGAAAATGGAACTCACAGGGGATGGACTTTCTGGGAAACAGATGGGTTGGTAAGACAGTTACCAACAGAATGACCTTCCTTCAAGGTGGAGGGGCAAAGAGGGTTCTCTGGAGCCCAGGAGCTGGGGCTACCTGGTGGAAGCTGGGACCGTGGTGAGCTGGTCCAATGGGAGATGGGTCTCAGGTGCAGGACCTGTCACCTGGAAGGTGGAGCCACAGATGCTGTTTGAGGTAGCAGGTTTCGATCTCCCCCTGTCCCCCAGTGTTACACATGTGGCCCACTGGCCAAACCTGACTGGAAGCCAGTTGGCAATGGAGCCTGGGAAGTGTAGTTGTTTATGAGAGTAAGAGAGTTGGATTGGATTTTACTCTCAGAGCAAAGTGAAATGATGCTGGAGCAACCATGTCTGGTAAGAGACTGCTGTCAGGAGTTTTGGATCAGGAAAGTCCTGTCCATCTGCAGTTCAGGCTGCAAACACAGGTGCAGGATTTGTCACCAAGGAGACTTGTGGGAGCTGAATCTGGGGGAGGAGTTGAGATCACTTGAAAAGTTATATAGAGTGAAAAAAAGAAGGAAAGAACCCTGGGGAACCTCATCATCGGGGAGTGTGCCGAGGAGGACACGTTCCCCAGAGAAGGCGTGTTCAGAGGGATTGGAGGGAGCTAGGACTGAGCAGTGCTGCTGCGTCTCTGAACATCATTTCAACAAGTGAGCACTGTTGTGGAGAGCTGAGTAATGAACCACCTCAGAATGTGGTGGCTTAAAACAACAGTCGTGTTTTGCTCATGAATCTGCAATCCGGGCAGGACTTGGTAGAGATGCTCCTCTCTGTTTTATGTGGTGCCAGCTGGTGGCTTCACTGGAACCGGGGGTTCCACTTCAAGGTGGCTCACTCACGTGGCTGGCAAGTGGGTGCTGGCTGTTGGCTGGGAGCTCAGCCGGGGCTGTGGGACCCGGCCTCAGGTCCTCTCCACGTCAGCCCTCCCCTGGTGGTGTGGGCTGCCTCACAGCATGGCCGCCCGGTCTCAGGGCAGGCGTCCTAAGAGAACAAGGCTGGAAGTACATCACAGTTTTATGCCCTCTCCTTGGCCGTCATGCAGGTGACTTCCTCCTCACTGTTAAGAACAGGAGTCACAAAGGCCCCCTTCATTAAAGGAGTGGGGAAGTCGACTCCATGTCTCGATGGGGGTCTGGCGAGGTCTAGGGAGCATTAGAATGGGGGATGTTACTGCAGCCATTTTGGAAAATACAGTCTGCCCAAATTACTCAATGTCGTCAAAGGGGAGATAAAATGAGTAAAGCTCAGAAAAGGATATTTTGGATTTGGTGATTTAGAGTTCTTGGGAAGAGTGAGGAAAGTGGGTGAGTGGGGTGAAGGACTGAGGGCCCAGGGAATGGAGACAGTTAACGTAGAACACTCTCTTTAAGTTTAGCCATCAGTGGTGAGGGAGAGTGAGGATTAGAGGTCGTTCAGGTAGCTGATGGGGATGGCACAGCGGAGCGAGGGGATTGGAGGTTCAGGAGATAGAGCTGGTCCAGGAGGAGACTCGGAGATTGGGCTGCAAGGACTCAGGTGGAAGCTGCCTTGGCCAGCCTTTGTTTTGAAGCTGGAGGAAAGTGGTCAGGCTGGGTAAGGATGAGTGTGTGGGGCAGAGGGGGGGGTTGGGGGAAGGTGGGCAGCTGAGTTGTACCAGCCTGATAGCCTCTATTTTTTCTCTGAAGTAGGAGGCAAGACCATCTGCTGAGAAAGAGGGGGTAGGAGGTGGCTTTGGAGGCTCGAGTGGGGGTGAAGGTTTGGAATAGCTGCTGTGTGCATTGGCAGAGAGCAGGGTTGCTGAGTGGCCCTGGGAACCCACCTGGAGACCCGAGTCTTCTGCAGCACCTGTCAGTGGCTGTGGAGTGACCATTGCTGGGAGTGAACCGGGAGTCTTGGAGGACCCCCGGATGTCCTCAGACCCAGCAGCCACTCCTGTGCCAGGTGGAAACCTGCCCCTGGCTGGCAGTGTTGTCAAGACCCACGTGGACTGGAGGACAGCTGACACTGTTTTTTCTGCTCTGAGCCTCGCTGGCTCCCTGAGTAATGGTGGCTGTGAGGTCAATAGCAATAATAGCAGTAATAAAGATTTGGCATCTTCTGGAGATAAGCATCAGATGCTTTCCTTGGGACGTGCAGCCTAGTGCCATGTGCAGAATACAGAGTGGCTCCTTCGCAGTGGCTGAGGCAGTGCTGGGGCTGGGATCACCAGCGGATCAGAGACCTGTGCTCACAGCCTTCAGTAGAGAAGCTGGAAACGAGGCCCGAGGTCACCACCTCTGTGGACCATCAGCATTAACAGCACCAGATGGTGCTACCTTCTCACTGGGCTCATCTCTGGTAGAAAATTCTACCTGGGTCACCCTTCTCTGCTCTAAAGCTGAAAAGAGCCTGACTGGAAAGCTCATTTTATTTTATATTTGAAATTAGTTTTTTTTTTTTTTTCTTGAGTCTAGACCTAAAACGCTGCCTTGGTTTTAGGAATGACAACCCCAGAATGGTGCTCAGGGATGCTTGCCAGAAGAATGATTTCTAGGGGGCGTTAGGGTTACCGCAGCCACCAGAAACTTGGAGACGGGGCAGGCAGAGCCACTGTTCTGCATGGCTTCTGGCACTTCCTCTCAGGACAGTTCAGGTGGTGCGTGCGCTCATCCTTCTCTCCCACTGTCCACTAGTGTTCGTCTCTCCCCTGCAACCCTGTGATTGGTCACAGCATGGTGTGAGAGGGAGGCTATCTGATCGAAGTAGTTCATACTAAGGAGAGAGTGACTAATAGGCTTAACCTCTGGATATTTGCTGTTTAAGAAGTTGTCTCACATTTCAGGACTTCTGGTAGTAGTGTCAACTTTTCCAACGTTGACTACTCCAGCACTTCTCTGTGGTTTTTAAGGACCTAGGTTCCTTTTGTCTTCCACTCTGCCATTCTGGCTTGTCCTTCCAAGGTAATGCCCCTCATGGTCCAAAAACAGCTGCAGCAGCTTCTGCTATTACAAGATGGTGACATCTAGATGCTCCTTACCGAAAAGGAGCCCTTCTGTAGAATAGCCTTCATTTCTCACTGGCCGGAAGCAGGCCACGTGCCCCAGCCTAAATCAGTCTTGGCAAGAGAAATGAGAACACTCTGATTGGCTCACTGACCAATCATGACTCAGCTTCTCAGACTAAGGCCTGCCTTCCTTGAAGGACATGAAAGATGCACATATCTGAGGTTCCATTAGCCAGGAGGGTAGGGGACATGGCTTTTGTGCTGGCACTCAATAGCATGTGTCACCTTGTGTTTTGTGTCCTTTGTGAACCTGGCACTCCTCTTGGGAAGGGGACAATCTCTGGGATAGACTACTGAATGGTGGTGGAGGAATGAAGGCCGACTCTCAGTAAATGGTGTGTGATGAACCCAATGGTGTTGGTGACTTTGCACAAAAGAGAAAGGCACAGCCAAGGGTGTTTTCAGCTTTGT